CGGATCCAGAACTCCGTTTTGGAGGGGGCGGAAAATTTGTAAGCATACTATTCTCCCATTCTTTCGTGTGCACCGGGGGGCCCACCCATGTCAAATTGCCTTCCGAGAAGGGGGGAAGGGGGGGGGGCGGCCGCCCCCGTCGCCACCCCCCCCCCCCTCCCCCCTTGGATCCGCCCCTGGGTGGAGGTGCATCTCACTTTTAAAACCGATACCAGCTCTTCAAGTTCAAGCACAACGGCTCTGATACAGATAAGCATTTGTTATTCCCCCACCTAACCTCCTTTTATCCCTCCACTCTAACACCCCCCCCCCCCCCCCCCCCCCGAGAGTCAGTGACAAAAGAGCCTCTTGCGCATACACCGAGTGACTCTCTCCTCCCACCCCCCTCTCCCCCTTTTTCACCTACAACGCGTACTATTACTACTCTCGGCATCCGGCCACGGCAAGAACTCATGCGACGGAGTTGGTGACTTACTCAAGCACCTCGCCACACTGAACAATTTTCACTACCGAGACGAGGTCTTAATAAGGACGTCGCAGGGCTTCGTCTAAGAAATCCAGAAACAAACACGAAACGTCGCCTTTTAAAACGTATCAAAATAAGACGTTGAGACATGCAGGCAATACAGGAAAGAACAGTGGGCATCTCTAGGTGCTCACAAAAAGACAGGCTCTTCGCACGTTTGGTCCGAAATTCAACTCCCCGGTCAAGAATCTGAGGTGACATTGACTCGAAGTGTTCTGTCTCGTCCCTGACCTCGGCGTGACCATACGTACAAGAAAGAAGGGAAGTAACTGAATAAGTGACTGCTATCGTTGTCTGGTAAATAGTTTCTTGTTTGCGAACTGGATGAACCAATATGCACACCTTATTGCGCTTCACGTGGACGTTGAAAATTGCGTCCTCAAATGTGTGTAACTATAGTAACTGAAAGAGGAGTCAGGCCGGGCACGGGCGAGCTGGAGAATATTAAGCAACATAATAAAACCGGAGACACCAAACAAGAAGGACACACACCACACCATTGCTTGTGTGGTTCTTGTTCCGTGTCTCAAGTTTTATTATGTTGCGTATCCAGTATATTTAATTATATTTATTAACTTATTTCAAACAAACAGCGTGTGTTCTGCTATATAGCGTGCTTGTTTCATGTGAATGTTTATAATAAGCATTTATATTATATCTCATTTATAATTTATAGTTCTTATTGGCCAATTCTTGTTCCTAGCGTTCTCAATAAACCACTCTCGTCTCCGATCCTAGATTTAATTCTGGTACCCACAAGCATACAAAGGCAGAACGAGCGGCTAATATCTCTGTATACCCGGTTATTCATTCAATTGGTTTTTACACTCCTTATAAGTAGGGTTCTGCGTTTTTTGCTAAATCCGATGAAATGCGAGACACGCCGGTAAAAAAAATGGCGATTCGGATCTATCCGATAAACCCCGAATTTCGAGTCAGCCAGTTCAATAAGCTCCATTGCTCCTTCCTTTTTTTTTTTTTCGGACACCTTGGCGCTTTTATTTTTGTTTTAACCTTTGTGCATAAGCTCCACAGAAAATGTATTTTGGCCACCTGTCAACGAAACGTGTCATTAAATCTCTACGGCTATAGACGAATATGATATCATGTATTAAAACACTGCTGGCCAAAATTTGCAAACTGCTGGTTTCTGACTTTTATTCGCTGCAGATAAAAGTCGAAAACTCCGAATTTTTGTGTAACATAAAAGAAAGCTACGAAAAACTCCGAATTTATTTGAGAAAATAAACTCCTGTAAACACCCTCCAAATTTGCTCAAAAAGAAACCTCCAAAACGCAGAATCATACTTATAAACCTAGGCTTTGCGTTTTTATACTGGAACCTAAAACAAATATTCAGTTCAGATCTGTTTCATTACAATAATATACATCTTTAATAAAGTTAAATGATAATATTCCCTCAAAACGACTCTTCTAATTAAGGCGGTACCAACCTGCAGTCTTTCAGGCTAAAAGTTAAAAGGTACAAAGCCTGCAACGAAACCAACTTCCGGAATTTAGCTCTATGACGATTCCGGTGCATGGATATGTTTTGGCGTCTTCTAGCGAAACTACAAGAAAAAAAGGGGGAATTCGGATCACGCCATACACAATCAATATGACTAAGAATTATCAAAAATATTTTTAAATTTTTTTTAAATCATTTTTTAATAAAACAGCTTCAAAATTAGACTTAATTTAAATTTTTATGAAGTTCTAAAATTAATATCAAATAATTTTGTCAGTATAAATCAAACAAAAGCACTATCATTATATAGCCCACGAATGGGACTGCACGAGGGCAGTATTTGGTAAGCGCTAATTAAAAAGAATATGGTCATGCAAGGATCTCGTGAATGGAATTTGGCTTATTTGTCAAGTGCATAACTGAAAACACTTGCCATTTAATAGATTTCCACGAAAAAAATATATAAATATTTATTACTTTCAGTATGCATAACAAGTAACAAAAAAGGTACAAAAACATAAACACACAATGATTTTCACCATGCTCCTCCTAATAGTTTTCATGAAGCGTCTTTTTTTAATTAGATTTGTGTTTTTTTAGGCATGGCGCTATTGTATATATTTAATTGACAACAATCCAAATACCCACCCCGATTGTGTTCAATTTGAAATGAAACGACCCTAAAATAAAAATTAAGGTGCATTCATAAAATGGAACTCTCTTTAAATATTTGCTACTAAACATAGTTTTAATGGAAGAAGCGAAGAATCGGGAAAGTAAAAAACTATGAGAGCAAGAGTGAATCCGCATGTCTTTTACAACAAACTGTCCTCTGGCGTCATAAAAAAAAAAAAAAAAAAAAAAAAAAAAAAAATTGCGCAAATATATAATGGTCAGAAAAACGAAGTAAAGGGAATAAATTAGCCGAATAGTGACGTGCAAGGTTTTGTGATTAAAATGGTGAGGGTCACGTTTGGGGAACTCTGAGAATGTTGAAGTGGAAAAACAAGGCTAGTAAAATCAGTATAACTTTGGCAATGCGAGCAATCAGGGACAGGAATTAACATAGTAAAAACAACCCGAGGCTGGGAAAAAGAAAGGACAAACAAACGCAGGTCTCAAACAGAGCTGAATTTAATTGACAACAGTTGGTGTTTACATTTGCCTTAAGAACCCATACAAATATGAAAGAAACGTAGGAACGAAAATAACCCTTTCATATTTGAATGGGTTCCTGAAGGCTATATAAACACCAACTGCCGTCAGATAAATTCAGCTGTGTTTGAGACCTGTGTTAGTTCGGCCTTTCTTTTTCCCAGTCTCGGGGTGTTTTTACTTTATGTTCAACTATCAGCAGCTCGTTTGCAGCCTTAGCCTTCAGTCCATATAGAGGGATCATATCAATTGATTCATTTCAAGGAGCAACGGCCCACGGGCACCACTCTTCATCCATTTTTCACTGCCACATTGAACGCCGCATGATATGAGCATGAGTATACATTGTTACGCGAACCTTGTTCAAGCGTGAAAACGAACGGAAAAATAGCTGTCTCTCTTCATGCAAATGTTCAAGATACTTCTTAAATGTGAAAATACCGTCTCCCAGTTGGTTTGAACGGTCCGTCGGCATTGGAAACAAATTATAATATTATATGGACCTCGCACTGACAGAAGATATTTTTTTTGTCAAATAAATCGCAAGTAATCTATGTGTTACTAACCTGGGTACAAGCCCACATATTTGAAGACGAGCGCCCATGTGGTGGACGTGAGGACGCATAGATACGAGTGCTGCGTTCATTCCTGGCTCTAGTCCGATGTACATGGTACTGACCCTTAATGGCTGTACCGCAGATTATTTGCGCCATTCAAACTAAAACAAACAAAAATTATACAGGAAGCACAAAAAAAAAATCGATTTCTTGCCGTCCGTTGGCGTACTAAGTTCAAAACGCCCGATAAAATTTAGCAACATTTCTACCGACGTAATGAGTACGGAAATTCCGCAAGATGGCACAGTGCAGATTTTGCCAGTCCCAACAATGACAGGGTTCTAAGCCACGGAGGAACCTTGAGACACTGCTCCGAGTCACCGATATAAATGCTCTCTCCCTCTCCCTTTTTCTGTTATCCAAAACCAACACGAATCTTGAGGCATTTTTTTCTACAACGAAGGAACACTGTGCTGTGCTCTCCACGTTACTCCAAACTGTACCGTTATTGCTGCGAAAAACTAAAGATAAAAATAAAGAACAATAAAGCCCGCTAGAGTCTACTACCATCGGATTTGACGGCATTCCATGAAAATACCAAACATTCTGTCACGGGTGCCTCGTTGTGGACTAGAGTAACGACAGTTTAGCCATCCTGGTGCTTAAAATCATGGTGGAGAATTATCTGAAGCTGTGTCTGAAATCGCAGGAAACGCTTTTCCGTCCTCCAGACATGTTAAGCAGTTCGCGAGCGAGCACAACGATATCACCTGAGCTTCCTAACACCGCACCTCAAGGTGTGGAAGTCGCATCTTTGAATTAGGATGATGGACAGTTACATCTGCTCTGCACTAAGCACCAAGATGGCGGCGCCCACTAGCAGATGGAGGCCGGAGTGCCGATAGTCTAAGCGTAGCTCATTTAGTGACTCTAGTTGTGGAAAGTGTGAATATCGGTGTGTATAATATCACGACTCAATGTCAATAATCGTCCATTCATCGTGAACTCGATTAAACTACTGAACTTTGAACACATGGCAGCAATCGTCGATAAAATTGGCCCACAAAAGAAGGGGATGTGCTCGGTGGGACGCACTGAACTTCTAGTAGCCGATAACGTATCTGTGTTCGAATCGTCCCTCCCCACTACTTGACCCATGTGGGGAGATGACGATGTGCATACCAATCCGTCGTCAAATGAAATGTCACAAATACGTTTTTACCACGATATGCAGGGACGTAATAGTAAACAAAAAAACAGTAAGAAAAGTTATAATTAATTGACACCGACTCACCTTTTCGTCGACTCGTCCCAACCATAGAGTAAATGCCGTGACGGCGCAAAAAAAAACTCTTCACGACCACCAAAACCGCCGCGCCATTCCGGCCACTCGCCGTCTCACTCCAGGCACGCCGCTGTCCACTCGGGATCTCCAGCCAGCACAAGGACGAATGAAGGGGCACACTTTCTCGAGCACGGTCCCGTTGCCCGAAACGCGCGGCGCACTTGCCGCCCCCAGTGGGCCGGACCCGCCGAGGCCTTGAGGAGCGCAGCCGTCAGTCGCGCGACGCCGGCAGACGGGGCGAGCGCCTGGGGCGATCGGTCCAGGAACTGGGTTAGGGCTTCCTCGGCGCCACCGCTGTCACTCGGTCAAGTGCGCGCAGTTTCCAGAGGCGTGAGTCGGCGTCCTCCCCCCCTCGTCGGCGCACGACAACCGACGCTCCGGCTCTGATGCCGATCGCGGGGAGCCGCTCTTTCGGGGGGACCGAGGAGGGGGGGGTCAAGAGAGGGGCGCGCGAATCCAGGTCAAACCGAGCCGACCGGAGAGGAAGCGAGCGACGACTCTCCGGCGGCTCCTCGCTTTTGGAAGGAGGTCTGTACTCTGGTTCACATTGCGATGGACCCGAACACACGCTACGAGCCTCTCGAAGCCAATCCGGTGACACGCGATTGGCACGTAACCTTCGGAAGGGGAGCAGCAAGGTGTACGGCGCGTAGTGACGTAATAAGCTGACAACACTGGATTGGCTTGGGACGGTTCGTAACGTCCGCTGCGGTCCATCAGAGGGGAAACGGAGTACACCTGGTGTGCGTGTTTGGGGGGGGGGGGGGGGGAGAGAGGGGGAGGGGGACTTCTCCCTCTCCTCCCCCTGTTCTCGGCCTTCCTCATTTTATTTGAATTTCGTTTATCCGTGTCGAAAGCGTGGGTTACTGATTGCCCCTCCTTGCGATGCGGCACACGTGCTTCGGGTAGTTGGAGATGCCCGGCCTGCTGGAGTATTCGTACACCTCCGGACACGCGGCCGCTGCAGAGCGAGGGTCCTCCTCCACTCTGGAGCTGCCTCCGGATGGCCGTATCGTTGTGTGACCGATGCCTGGCTTCTGGCCTGTTTCGTGTGTCTAATGAGCAGCCCCGCGTAACGGTCTAAATCCGCCAGATAAGGAGCTTGGGTTGTTTCTGCCGGCTGCGTGGGCTGGCTGGGTCAGCTACGTGAACTCTAGTCGAGAGAACTGCCTAATGTGCTAGTCATTGAGGAAAATATCGATATAAAAAAATACGGTACCGCGTTTAATATTGTATTTGCAAGGCGAAAGAAACTTGACAAATGTCAGATACAGAGGGTCTTTTCGCTCTGTTGTTATGTTTCTCTTTTCCCCGTTTATCAACATTTGGATTATCGTTGCTTTTCGTTAAATTAATTATTATTTATTGGGACGTGTGCTCGAATACCGCATAAATTCTGTTGACAAAAATATTAGAACAGCGATCACTGTCCTCAGGAGAGTGACACACCCGGACGGCATGAAAATATAATTTGCGTGACACTGTCTTTCCCCTCAAACAAGATTGACACCTATTTGGAAAACTTTGTCATTGAACACTTAACAACCCCCCCCCCCCCCTTTTTTTTCCTTCCAATATGCAAAAAGAAAATGCTTTTTTTCGAAGATCGTTCGCGTGTTTTCTAATGAGAGTCTTTTCAGCGGAGGATGCAAGAATTACTGAAGTAGATAAACCACTGTTGAGTTTGAAAAACTGTCACCAAAACAAAAGAAGAGGTTCTTGGTTGTCTTTGGAGTCAAGGGCCTTTGCTTTTCGCACGTATTTTGACCGAACCCGGCTTATGTAGGACCTTGTTCTGACCAGCTTACCCCAACAGACCTAAAAAACTAACATAACAAAAAAAAAGAGTTGAGGGGCGAAAGAAAAAGCACTTACACTACTCGTGAAAGGGATCAGACCCGGGATTATGCAGGCTGGAATAAGACGCACTGGAAATACCCCTGAATGCGTGAACTCCTGATCTCACTTTCCATCCGGACCTAAACGACCCAAGAAAACACACAAGGCCGCTGAAAAAGAAAAAAAAAAGAAAAAAAAAGAAAGGGGGGGGGGTGTTTTGCAAGAGTTCCGTTTCGACCGCAAATCTTTGGTCAAGGTGTGCGAAGCATTCCAGCCCACTCAGCGGAGACGGGAGCCGGTCCAAGCGCAACCTTGCCTAATACAGCGGGGGATTACAGAAACTATAAAGAAAAAGAGCAGAAAGGAAAAACGAAGACTGCTGTCACAGCTGGGCGAACTCGCAGTCACCAGAACCTTCGCGAGCAATTTGGAGGGGGGAGGCACCACCAGCAGACGCCGACAAGAAACATTTTAATGCACGTTGGAGGATCCTGTTTCACGATTGGACAGATACCCGGGCCTCTTGCTTGGCGGCCGGTGTTTGTTCTAGCAGTTGTTTCGTTTGTTTTGTTTTGTTCCACAGCAGCGAACGGACAGGCTAGCCGGCGGCTCCGACGAAGAAGGTCAGCCCGTCGCGGCAACAGTGGCGACGCCGGAGCGATTTCACCGGGCCACCTACCTACCTACTTTCCCGCTGCTCCGGGTGCGCGGAGAGCGATGTGCCCTTTAAAACGGGATTCCCGAGAAGAAACCCATCATCATCGTATCGCCCTCGCTATCGGCCGCTCAGAAACCGGGCTCGAACTGCGTCCCTTTGTAGTCTGACGCGTCTTCGTTTACAACGGGGGCGTTTGTCTTTGCCTCCCGAGATTCGTGAAAGGACGCCGGATCGAGGTTCAGAGCGTACGACGTGAGTTTGTGGCGAGATGTTTCCGTCGACTCTGACTCAAAAACGCAGTTCCGAGCATCCTCTCGTCGTTCCGCAGCCAATGAGATAGTGGCATGGGCCAACATTAAGGGCGGCAGGCGGTGTCTTTCGAACGCCCGGCCTTGAGCATGCTCTCTGTGCCTTCCACCGTGCTTCGACTGCGTGCGCGCGTGCTTGACGTGCACGCGACGCCGAAGCGTTGTGGAAGGTTGGAAGCTCACGCTGGACGCGGGACAACTCACCTCCTTGCCGCTCTCACTTTGCCGAGGACTATACAAGCAAAACCTTTAACAAACTTGTTCAGCACGCTTAAAAAATACTAGGTCATGCGTTTACATCATCTGCTCGTCGTTTTTATGCTGCAATAAATTCTTATGAAAAAAAAAAAAAGAAATAGATGATACATCACTCAGGGGACAATATAACTGTAATGTTTGTTAATTACTTTAACACTTAGTTAATCTCAAAGATTTTTCCCCATCCTCTGACCTTTCTGCTCTAAGCTTAAGTCCTCTTTCCGATAGACCGTCACACTAAGAGCCTTAAAGTCCTGTAGTGTCTGGTTAACTCGTCACGTCTCTCCTCATTAGACACATACATAAGGTTTCACATAGCGTCATCAGCGAGGAGCCACCATGACCTAAACATTTCACCGTTTTATGCGCGTACTGACATGTTTAAATAAAGTTTTTTTTTTTCTTGGAATCTGCTACCCGGTAACATCCGTTCATTTCCGTGCGCGGTTCCGTTTCCGTGTGCGGTTAACAGCGGTTGAACTCTTTTTACTATGTTTTATGTTTTTTCTGTCTTATTCAATATTGAATTGTGATTCCCAACTCCCCCCCCCCCCTCCCCCCCCCCCCCCCCACACACACACACACATTCCTGCAGTATGCAAAAAATGGGACTAGAGTATGTAAAAAAAAACTGAAAAAAAAAGAAATACATGGAGAAGAGCTGGTGAATTTTCCACATATAAAAAAACCCGAAACCCTCCGTCTCTGTTGCAAACGGCTCGTTGGCAAAAGGGACATCCGTGGGCCCCTGGACTGTTTCGGTTACGGACGTCTCTGTCGGGAATTCGGGGTACATTTCAGACCAATCAAATGTTTTAAAAATGACGTTTTTTTTTTTGTTTTTTTTTGTTTTTTTTTTTAGACATGCGGGTAATTGTTGTCGTTTCCCACGAGCGTCTCGTTGTGAACCCGAATGACAGCAACCAAACGAACTCTCTAGCAACTGACACAACGCGGGAATGCGGCGAGGACCTCTGAAAAATGAGGGAATGGAAACAGCCAATATTCCTTAATGAGCTGCGAGCCAGGTGTCGGGGTTCTTGATTGCCCTATAAGGTGATTAATCATAAGGCATGTTTGTTGCCCGACGCGGAGAGCATCTTAAATCTTTAACTTTAACGGGAAAATCCGGATTGGTCGGCAGGGTCTCCACGTCACAGCCCCATGACATTGCGCAACAATTTCAAACAACCCGCAAAGCTCACGTGAAATGTGACGTCAGCCGTAGAAGCTTTAAAGAGACACTGACACCCCCCAAAAATTTGTTTTGCTTTTTCGTCAGGCGATTTATTATGGTGTCGGAACACTACTCAATAAATATTTTGCTACAAAGTCACGTATTTTTTTAATAAAGCCAAAAAACGCAACTGCTCGAAACCGAAACCAAAACTCCCGCACCGCACGAAGAAGTGGAGAGCATAGAGTGGAGTGGCGGAACTCACGTGGCTACACCCGACCGTGCGGTTTTTTTTGTTTTTTTTTTTCTCCGCAGGTGGCAGACAAATGCGTTCGTTCGCCGTACGACTCCTTTGCAGTTATGTTTGTTCCGCTGGCTGTTCTGTACTTCAAAATGAGTTGTTTTGTATATTTAAGTGTTGGCAATTAGTAGCGAGTGCCCGAGTGCCGTGGTGAATTTCCGTGATCGGCTTCGAAAAGAATACTCCCAAGATGTTGCGTGAAGAGTGACCTCACATGTCCTGCATCTGAAAGTGGCATTGTGCGGCATTGTGCGACAGAGTTTCCGAAAGATCAACGGGATCGGGATCAATGTCTTGCTGCAATTCCTGTAGAACAGTTACGGGAACTTCGGAAAGCGGACGCTTCCCGATTCATATGCTCCTTGCATTATGTGGAGAGTGACTACATTGAGTTCGCAGCTGTCAAAAATGGAATTCCATACTATTTAGCTCAGCGACGTATCGTCCACATTAATTGTTTTTTTCTTTTCAGTGATAATTGTAAAAAAAAAAAAAAGAAAAAATGTAAACATCGCAAAATGCTTGACAAAAAAAAAAAAAAAAAAAAAAAAAAAGGTGCACCCACATTAGGGATCGAACCCGTGCCTTCTGCGTGTGAAGCGGACGTCTTTCCACTAAGGTACTAGGGAGCCTTTCTATTTTTTCTTTCCAACGAAAATGAGTTTATTTACATATTGCAATTACACGTAACGTGAGTGGACACTTTCATATGTTTAGTAATTCT